TCTATCTTTCTCTCTCACACACACACGTACAGTACACACATCTTATAAATATGAAATACTGTGGTCACACATGATACTGCCGACGAAACTGGTTAGTGGAGTAAGTAGCCACCCGCCCAGAAAGGGGTTTATTTGCTCTACGTGTGTCTAACACAAACAAAATGTCCCCACAGTCCAATGAAAACTAATTGAAAATGGTTTCCAGACCTTTCTTGATTTACTCTGTTCACCCTCTGCCTGAGTGGACTGCACTGTCTGCACAACTTCAAAATGACTGGATGTAAGAAAAAGGTCAAAGGGCCAAAAGTGTGGACCTGTGCTCCTCTTTGTTGATATTATCGACATTAAAAATACTAGACCAGCTGGTGGTATCAAACCTCAACGTCACTTCACCTCCAACATTCCCAGCTGGAGAAAAATGATATTTTGCCTCAGTTGTGTCCTTCCTCCACCATTACATCAGTCCTTCCAGTGCTGCTGTGATTAATTCTCCTGAAGTAAATGCATAATGCCAGATCGATCAATCACTGTCAGCTGCTGAGCTGAGTCTGACAGATCCTGATGGCATCTCATACTTTGTGATCAATTAAGGTAGTTGATGACTACTGTCGCCCAATAAATACATGGCCTTTGTTAAAGTAGCCCCCCATCTCTTTCTCCCTGAAGGTTAAAGTTTTATATCATAAAATCATATTAAGCTTTTCTGACAGCAGTAAAAAAAAACTGCAGGAGACCGTGCACAACAGACAGTGAGCTCACTTGCCAAAAAATGGAATGAAGTCAGTGCCAGTCATTTCTTCAAATTCAAACTCCCTCAGTGAAAACATGTGTAACTCAAAGACACAGTGCAGTGAGGCAAAATTCTTTGTTATTCTGCACCTGAGACTTCGTGTCTTTAGAGTCTATCCACTGGCCATCGGGAGGGTGAAAGGTTGAAAACCGCAAGCGTTTGAGCCCTCAGGCTTTGGAGCACTTGGCCTGAGGAGCTGAAACCTTCAAAACCTGTTGTATCTCCAAACACATTTGTAAAGACAGCCTGCTATATGGGGAGCTTTGTATTGTTATTCCATCAGTTATGAAGGCCATATTATCTGCCATGAGAGTGTTCACACATGCACGTGTGTCCATACAGTTGTTGCTGGACTTTGGAGGAAATATCCAAATAACATAAATAAATACTATTACTTTACCATTTTTCCCTCTCTGTGTCTCATCTTTATCGTCCTCTTTCTGGCAGTGTATGCACTGGCTGTATCAGCTCTGTGAGTGTGTAGGAGCAGGAAGAGACAGAGAGGGCTGAACTGGACGTGACCCTGACCCACCTCTGCCTTTAGATAAGAAAGCTTCAAACACACACAACTACACACACTCCCCCTTTCTCTCTCAAACACAAACATGCCCTTCCTGAAACACTATCTAAATACTCTCTCTCACGCGCACGCACACACACACACACACACACACACACATACAGTCGAGGCGAGGGAAACAGGTGGCAGGTTTCGCAAAACACTCTTTTTATCTGAAATAACCTCATACATCTCACTGTTACACAATAACTAAGTGCACACCACTGACAACATCAGAATAACACAATTAACTGATAACTAAGCCCCCCCCCCTTAGTTACTGTTGCCACACCTGTCAAAAAATGTGTAATTTAGCTAATTTTCCAACACCGCTTATGGATAGCCCATTTATATAACTTCATGAGTCACAGACCATGGCAACAACAGGTGTGTCTCACGTAGTTAGTGTCCCCTGTAAACAGTGTCTGTTTCTATCTGTGCTACTAGCTTTCTGTATTTGACTATGTTTCCTCTTTTTGCAGCCTTTTCCTTATTTTGCCTGTGTTTTGTCTCTTTGCTTGTGCTCTGTTAATCTGCTGGGCAGGGCCACCGTATAAAGCTATCCCAGGTAATGAGTTGGAGCTTATGTTAATGCAGAAAAACGTGCTGATTCATACATTTCTTTGGCTTTTGCTCTGTGTTCTTGGTTTATATAAAAGACAGCACCCTTTACATTCTTTAGATGAAGAGTATCGCTCTTCCTACAACCCCACGCACTGCACTTTGGCATGTCAAGGAATCCAAAGCCAGTTGCTAGGCTATGATTGGACGCTGTTTGGGGGAGGGTTTTAGTAAATGGCCAAATATTTAATATCAAATACTCAGACAGCACCTAACAGAAGGGTTTCATTTCATCGCGACAGCTGTACATGCATTCAACTGTTAAAAAAAGGGTCTTTCCACTTGTCTAGACTCCATCACCAGTTGAAGAAAATAGATGAATTTCCTAAATGACAAAAAACATGTCCACAAGAGACAAAAAGTCTTCTAAGAGCTGATTAGTAATGAGCTGTATTGATTGTTGTTTCCTGACAGCTAATGCTGTTCATATTTCATGCTGCCTGAGATAAAAACGAAGCACTTGCTGTAATCCACCCACTAACGTCATCCAACCACAAAGACACTCGGGGGGAAAAGCGGGTAGATTGCAATTCCCATTCAGAATTCAATAAGCAAAAAAAAAAACCCAAGCTATTGTTCCGTGTAATCTCCAACAAGCATCTTTCCTTATTCCAGCCACATCCTCTCTGCTCCTCTGTGATCAGCACCTCCACATGGTTGTCACTGCTGCAGTGACATGGGCAAAAAGGGAAATGCCTTCATGTCTGTTGATGTTTGTGTCTTTGTGTGTATCCGGGTATCCTATGTTGCCTCTACGCAGTCTTTCTCTGTCCCTTCCTAGCAAATATTTTACAACAGACTGTAGTCGGGTGCAAGGGCAGAGCTGCAGTCCTGTTGGGAAGATGTATGGAGGCATATGAACCCCTGCAACCCCCATCGTCTAAAACAGTAAAGCACTTCAGTCTGCCCACTCACCTTCCCTCATCAGCTGGGCTGAATACAAAACACGTCTTAGACAACAGGAGGAATAAGGGAGTGCTCGTGTATGTGTGTGTGTGGGTGCGTGCGAATACCGTCTATTAAATGGTCTTTCAAAGAGTCCTTGAGCTTACCTGCCAAAACCAGACCCAGCAATATACAAGGAGTTGTAAAACCTGCCAGGAGTGTGTGTGTGCGTGTGTGTGTGTGTGTGTGTGTGTGTCCACCACAATGTCAGCCAAGATACTAACAGAGCTTTTATTCCGAGGCTTGGTCTGCTGCCATATCTTACCCCCCCAAAGTCCTACCAAGAGGATGGATAAGTAAATGGAGCAGTGAGAAACAAAGAGGCACAGACAGACAGGAGGAAGAGAATTTCATTTGTCCAACTTTGAACATTTGGTGAACACACATGGGGTGAGAGAGGCAAACAGATGCTTCTTTTTATTATATTTATATATTATATCACTATTTATTTATATGTTATGCAAAAATCTCAAACGTGCGAGATTTTGCAAAGCATATAAATAAATAGTTCAGATAGTTCCCATCTTGTGGCATTCCCCGGCCTAGTCCCCATCACTGTAGCAATGGGAGTCTTTGTGGGCACGGTGATAGCCAATCACAGGGGAGCAGGGGGGAAGTGGCTGGAATGTGAAGAGACGGCACGCTGCAGATTAAATGGATACAAGGAGGATACGGATTGAGGAAGTTCTCTAGTTATGCGCCGCAATAAGTCCCTGATTACCCCGCTGCTCGCTGCTCTTACTCTGCTTTAGCCACAAACTGCTGTTGCACACTTTTTGCCTTCTCTCCATACAGCCTGTCTTATCATGTCCATGCTTCTCTCGGTGCTCTCTCATCCTCTTTCTCTCCTATTCACAGGTTTTCTCTCACAGCTCTCTCTCTTCAGACAAGAGGGTCCATTGTATTTCCAAAGATGCCTTGGAGTCCCAGGCCCAGCATGCCTGTGCACTGTGTGTGTGTGTGTGTGTGTGTGTGTCCCAGTTAGAAAACAGCTGTCACATTCAGCCATCACATGCTGCACAGCTGAGACTGGCCGCTACTATCCCTGTCAACGTTCTCCCTCGTCTTTGTTTCTCTTTCATAAGTAACTCCATGACTGAGCTCTCCTGGCTGTTGGCTGTGACATTTCCCTTTTTCAATCGAAACTTCTCAGATTCCTGCCCTGCCCCTGATCCCTCTCTATTCCTTTCTTCTTCTACCCTCCCACTTCATCCTTTTTGTCCAGACAGAGTAGGAGTTGAGATCTCAGACCAACTGCTAAACACTACATCTGAAGAGTGAGGATCGGATCGAACTCTAGACAATCTGTTTCAGTATGTGGATAAACTGTAGACTAGGTGTATAATGTAGTTTCAACACATTGCAACATAGTCTGGGTTTTGTTTTACAGATACAGGCTGCTATGAAACAAATATGTCGATCAAGTCCTGCCTTACCTGTCCTTTAGTTCAGACTGTAGAGCCCAGTATGTGCTTTACTGAAATTTCAGCCTATTTTCTGTTCAAACATAAACATTTCTATAACTATTATGGCTGTTGTGAATGACAACAAATGTTCTTCTCAGACACCTGGGAAACATTCATCAACCACAAAGACACCGTGTCGCCATCGGTGATTTCGTAAACACGGGGTCTACCATAAAGATTTGTGGGCAGGTCATGGAGACTGGCGTCACTAAACGAACAGCGTGACTTCTTTAAGTCCTCAAGTGACTAGCAAGCTTTAAAATCTTTTAAATCAAACAGATACAAGCCTCCACGTTTGCCATGTTTGTCGGAGCAGCACTGCAGATTTGAAGCTCAGCTATCAATGCAAACAGTCGCTGCTACAAGTTAAAATCATCTGAACTGGTCAGGTGGAGAGCTACAAGCGACCGGTTTTAATTACAATTTCCTCCCAGGCTAACGCAACCCTACCGTTTACTGTGCTATTCCTAACATTTGGGAAACGACTGGTCACCTCACAGGCTTCGGTCACAGCTGATATGGCATGGCACAAGCATCCTGATCATATGGATTCAGCATATCATCATATAAATGTTCTAAAAACTACCTGAAAACAATTCTGAGCCCAAAGTAAAGGCAGTCCTGACACTTTCATAATCTCACTTTTAATGCAGACAACAGCGTGCCAACTTATTATACTAAAACGCTTTCAAAAAAAATAGAACTTCTCTTCTACTTGCTTTCAGAGATCTATGCTTGGGTAACGCAATTGTTATTATTTCAGCTGACACACACACACACACACACACACACATATTTAGCAACAAGTGCTTAGGAATTTCTCATCAGTCCACACGTTGTGTAAACCCTCCGTCTCTTGTCTCAAGTCAGATACATTAGCACACACCTGCACACACACACACACACACACACACACCACAGCTATGTTAATCAGAATGTGTTGTAACCTGACAGACTGACAACCAGACCCCCTGGTCACTGAGTTTGGTAATGCAAGCTCACCTCTAATGACCGGGCGGTCTCTCTGTCTGTCTGTCAGTCTGTCTGTGCAAACCACACACACTCCACCACCCATCAGCACCCATCTTATAGGTGTAGAGCCGGCATGAGTAAGATGCTTTGTTTTTGTGTGTGTTTGCCCATTCACCTAAGGCTTAAGAACTGGATTCCATGGGGGTGCCCAGAAGAACAAAACGTCTTGACTGAAGCATCTCCAATTACTGAAAGAGGCGGAGGTCCCTCTGGGCGAAAATACCTTATAGATGGGAACGGTCAAAAGAGAGAGTAGGTCCGGGCAGGAAGGACTCTGAAACCCTTGTAACCTTAAAGACTGCAGTGTCAAAGCATTCAAGTCCACACAAACTCCAGTTAAGCCTGTTACAGTGTCACTGTCCAGGGTAAGGGTTTATTTGTGTACACCAGCATAATGGGACATGGGAAAATAAGAGTGTGTTGAGGTTAGTCTATGATAATAATAATGTAATTGACATTAGTACCAGAACAAAACTAGATGTTGTGCACTGGACAGTTCTGCATTAATTCAGATTGGCTGGGTCGTGTTTGAAGCTTCTGTTACAGTATTGGTTAACAGAGGTAGGCCTATGACATTTGAGAAGCTGTGGTTACCTATATGACCTGAGCAAAGAACATGTCAAATTGTATTGTTTGTGATAGTGAACCCGTGTTTTTTTTTTTTTTGTGGAAGCAAAACGCCGCTTGGCATCATGGCTTTTGGTCATTTTCATTGCTAAAATTGTTTATATCGGGCTTTAAAGTCGTCTCTAACCTCTGCTGCTTCTGGTTTCATCGCAGCTAGTTAGTAATTGCATTGTTTAGTGGGGGTTATCGCCGGTGAAAACGCCGCTGTGTGTTTTACCTCTGCGTTGAAGGGGCTGGCATCCTCCGCTCCACGCGCCCCCAGCGCACACATGGACAGCGCGAGGAAGGTCCGTCTCCAGAGCAACCAGAAGCAGCTGTTCCGCGAGGTGGATGCCATGGTCTGGGCGCGAGGGGAATCAGTCGGTGTTGCTGGTGGTTCACTCTCTACGGTGTATTACTTTGTCTTTGACTGGTTTTTAGTCCTAATATTGTTAGTTTGTGCAGTAAAAGTCGTAATAAAAACTGCAGTGAATTACCCCCTAGCAAGAACGCTACAGCAGTCTTCAACAGTGCACTTGCATCCTGGAACAGAGCTCCATTTCAGATTTACAGTCAGAGCCGCATTACACACTGACCCCCCATAAATGTCGGTAAGTTGTCTTCACTCATACGAGAGCCAATATATGTCCATATAGCTTTCTCCTAGAAGTTTTTACTTGTATTTTGCACCGCTGACAGACCGCCTCACCTTGCTCTACTGTGCTCTATTACAGCTGGGGTTACCCACGAGAGCGCACGTCTCATTTAATCCACATCAAAGTCGCTGCCTAATAAGTAACCTTGAAAGTGCACTTTACAAAAGAGCCTCAGTGCCTGCAGCAATGCCTGCTATCAGCAAAGCGGGACTGCCGCAGAACTGCTTTAGTAAATCATTTACTGCCAACATGTTCAACTTAACAACACCCTCTCGTGATAACAATGCCCAATGAAGTGCAGTTAAATGTACCCTGAGAAAGTTGCAAACCACTAACCACTACAACAGCCAAATAATAAGCCCAAAGTTCACCGCACTTGACCGACTCCTTCAGTGGTATCATCAAGTGACGGTAGCTGGGAAAGCAAACACGGCTGTTTTAGATCGCGACCTCTTTTTAAAAAAAGAAAAAAAGAAAGAAAAAAAATGGTTTGACGGGATTTTGCCCTCTATATCCAGTTTTTCCCTTTTCCCAGCAAAAATCTTCTTGGGAGCCGGTACTCAGCTAGTTGCTATCAGTCATGTCCCGACTGAGTCAGTGGCTGTGTGTTGTGTCCCCGCCGGTGCAGGACGAACAGTGGTCTGTTTGTGGTGTTTCGGTAGCCTACCTAACGTGGAGATGCCATCGTCAAGCCGGACAGCACGGGGCGGAGGTGCCCCTGTCGTGACTTTCAAAATAAAAGGAAGGTAGTCTGCCTTGATTGTAATAAAAATGGAGATAACACAAACAGGCATCTATGCTACACTAATAATAATAATTTTCTCCAGTTAAAATCCGGTCTCATTTTTCCTTCTCAGATATTGTCCCATTAACAGCATATAGACTATAAACAGTTAAACACTAATACATGTTTATGAGACCTCATGGAAGAGATATATTAGCTTATTTGATCAATTTGATAACATTTGACATTGGCAGCAAGGGGTAATTAAACTGCAAAACACATATCTTTAATAATAATAATAATGGCAACAATAACAATAATAATAACAAAAATAAAATAGGTTTCTTCCCAGAAGTGCTCACACCACTTTTGCCTTTTATTTTGAAATGTTATTCCGGGATTGTCTTGTCTTCCTGTGGCTGACTTGACAGAGCTGACCACTACAATGCTCTTATCTACCGGACGGATGGAGGTGGAAGTGGGGAGGGAGCAGAGAAAGAGCCTGAGGCGGACGCCAGCAAACATGACCCTCCCCCCTCTGTTTTATAGCTCCACCACAGCAAGGTGACCACCCACACACACACACACACACACACACCTACACGCACACAAACACACACACACACACATAATCTGAATATGACTGGGAAGTGCTGATAAGACATGAGATTTAAAACCACAATTATGTGTCATAAAATGACTATAGCCTCACAATTCATTAACTAATATGGGATTGTTGTTACTGTAAGTTTCCGTCAGGCACACACACACACACACACGTTCACAAATAACACACACAGTGGTTGCACTTCATGAATGCAATGGTATCCGTTCTATATCTGTTCCATTCTTGTGTTTGTAAGCAATAATAAGCAATTGCACCATTAAATGTGTATTTATATATAAATCTGTCACTTTGAAATCCTTAGGGTTAATGGGACAGCAGACAGGCAGTCCCTGTTATTTTCACCATAATAAGTTGTCTACATAGACATCTCAATGGATCCGATCTAAGGCTAAAGGACTTACAGAATGGGTATGTCGTTGGTTACTGGTTCAAGACCTCAATATTTAAGCCTCGGCTCATGTAGTAAATTCTTCCTCAGCTAGTGGTTTAGATGTAGTTTGATATACATTTGTACAAGTGGAAAACAAAGCAGCAGTTTCAGCACCTCGGAAATCCCCATCCCTGTTGTATGACGTGTTGCCACTTCTGCTGACAATTAAAAAATGCTACATTGACATTCACTACAAAGAGAGAGTGTGTTTATCACCCAGGTTTTTCCAGTTGGTCATAATGAGGATCATCATCTGCCGTGTGTGAGTCATTCTGCTTCACTGCTCTCTTTCTATCCAGGTGAGCAGTCTTTGATAGTTTGTCACAGGTAGGATCAAACCCTAGAGGCTAACATCTGTCAGTCCTTGTCCGTACACCAGTGATCTCAGCTTGGCGTCACCCAACCAAACACAGGGAAATCCCCCGCCAACAAATCCAGTACTAATATAATTTTTTGGAACTGTGTTTCCTTGTTTCCCCTAGTAAACAGTCACAACATTTGTCCCCCAACAATAAAACTGTCACTATATACTATATAGTACTAGTATTACTATTGTCTTTGAAGTAGGTTTTGTTCTTATTATTTTCTTTATTTTAATTTAAATATTTTTATAATCAAAAAATTGTTCATTTTTACTGTATGTATTATTCCACGTATGTCCTATATGTAACAGTTAAAGTAATGCAGTACAAAACAAATTAGCTTATATTCAGTAAACTTACATTTGTAGCAGTGCCTGAATTAGACCAAAAAATGTGCCAGTGCCCTAATTTAGCACAACATAACCCTACCCTAATTGTTTTTTAACCCATTCTAAGGACAAATTAAGTTTTTTCTTAGCATTAAGCTGGCTTTGTTTTACACTGAGATGCAGTTACACAGGTGTTTAGGAGTACCTCACCAGCATCGCTGTACTCATGCAATAAGAAGTAAGGGTACTCATGTGGACAAAAATAAGAAGCGACGGTGCTCAGTGAGTACCAGCTCACTATTTCAGGCACTGATTTGTAGGATACCTTCAAATACAGATATCCTCACCTAAGTCTTCCATAGAGTCACACAGCAATGAAATGAGGAGCTCACTGATGTGTGGTCCAATGTACAGTTTATGTACTATTATTTTATTTATTTATTTAAGATTTATAAGTAGCAGAATGTAGCAAATTGCAGTACAATTTACAGTAATTTTGGGTAATGTTTGGTATATGGGCTTTGAACATACATTTCACAGTTTTTAAAATATTGAGTGTGAAAACAACTGATAACATTTGAAAGATATGCTCACTGAGTGCACGATGTATTGAAGATATTTACTGTTGTGCTGACTATGTGAAGAGTTTTGAAAACATGATCTCAATATTGAGAAATGTGTGTTCAGTCAACTGAAATGTAATTATTCCTTCAGGGAGAACAATCAATCAACAACAGTCTTAAGGGTTAAGTAATCTATCTATTATGTTGTGGTTCTTTTCTATTCTATTCCATTCTAATTTACTGCATTCTACTGTGTTCTATGTATTATCTTATTTTCTATTCGGTTCCATTCTTATTTACTGTATTCTAGTATGTTCTATGTATTATCTTGTTTTCTATTCTGTTCCATTCTAATTTATTGTATTCTGTTTTGTTCTGTTACATTCTATTCTGTTCTGATAAAGTCTAGTCTAGTCTGTTTTGTGGTCTCTAAGGCGTGCTTGCCACCTGGCAGAAAGGCCACCTGCATGCCCAGCCAGTAAACGTGCTGATGGATAAAGCATAGGGTACAACACACACATACACACACACCCACACACAGAGCCATGGAATGCATGCACAGTGTCACAAGCTACAGGTGGGTCCATAAACACATATGGGTCTGTATTAGAATCAAACAGGTGGCTTGAATCCGGGCCTGAAAGCTATGGACCTCCAAAGTGTTCACTATTACATAATTATAATTCTTTCAAATAGCACTTATATTTCATGTCACATTTTCTTTTCATCATAGTGATGTAGTCACTGCCCTCTTATCTTTCAGCCAATCACATGTCCTCAGCTTCTTTAGCTAGCAAGCACAACAACCGCATCCAGAATTAGTCAGATAGTAGGCTAGACATAGAAAGCATCCTTGCTTAACGAGATTGTATATGCTGGCTGTAGCATGAGCTGCCTTGTTAAGCTAAGGCTTAAAAGCTACAGAAATGTAGTTACTATTTTTCTGTGTACTGTGTTTATAACAGCAGCAGTCTTTAGTTGGTATGATTCAGAATAATATTAGCATTGTTGTTGCTCTAGCTAACACAAACTAACTGGTTAAATTAGGGAGCCGTTGTTGAGCTTGCTGGCTACAGGGAAGGGGATTTGTGATTGGCTGAAAGGTGAGAGGGCTTTGACAATACAACTGTCGTAAAAATGTGAAAAACACAATTAAATAAAAAATGATCTCCAAAAACTGGTTATGAAGAAAATGAATGATGAAATAACATTTCGTAATAACGGGTTAATTTTCTTTGTAATTTTTCATTTAAACATTTCAGTAGAAAAAAATGTAATTCTAATTTATATTATGTCTTTTTTGAACATTCTGTGGCTCCATAGTGACAGTGGACTGAAAAAATTAAATGAGTTAATGCACATGGTTGTGAGTTTTGTTGTGAGGTTTTTTCTTGTTTGCCATAGGATAGAAAGTATGTGAAGAATGCATTATTTGCAACACAGGTTCAGATTTATACTCAATTCAGATTCATTGATCAAGCAACCAGGAGGGACACAGTTCAAATTTGGTGTAATACATTTATGCAGTCTCTGATTACTCCTGGCTTAGGTTTCAACTTTAATTCCTGTAATAACAAGAAAAAATCACAACATATACAAATTGGAGGATTAAAAATATAAATTTAACTCTCAACACCTGGTTTTGTTTTATTTTTTGATCTGCTACTCCCCTCTGCTGCTTGGAGCAGGGACATGCAGCCATAAACTGCAAGGAATGTGCGTTATTTTTACCAGTGCTGGTAAATTCTATGAAGTTTAGCATAAACTTTACAGTAAATACAAAGTATGTGTGGTGACCATTGTTGAGTATAATATTTTTAAATTATTTAGGGTGAGCTCATATTCACTATATGATTCAGTGACTACAGAAGGAAGAGATGCAGCTTCCTGTTGGTTGTGGCTTCCCCTTTTTTGTCATTTACATCAACTTCCTATGAAGCTCTTCGATTTCAGCCGGTTTTCCACTTGCTATTACTCCGCTGTCACATCAGCTGCACTCGTCAGATGAAAAAAAAGCTCACAGGACATCAGTAACATGAAAAGGTAGGCTATGTTTTGGTATTCTTTAGGTCAGAGCCATCTAATTTAGCTATCTAAAGAGTGTTGGAGCCCATCAGTGTTAGTTCATTGTTCATTGTACAAATGAGATAATATCTGTTTTCCTTGTAATACTTTCGTATGACATGTCTATTAAAGCGCATACAGGATACAGTTTAAAATTCTCACCCTTACATACAGAGCTTTGCGTTTATATGTATATATATATATATATATATATATATATATATATTTCTATGCTTGCCTATGTTGTGTGTGTGTGTGTTTGTACATTCTATATTTATACACTGCTATATAATAATATTTTTAGTTGTACATTTCTTGTTGTGCCTTCGTTATTGTACATTGCCTCTGTAAAGCACTTTGTGAATTATGTCTGTGAAAAGCGCTATATAAATACAACTTTTTTTTACTTTTACTAAATGAATCCTACTCACTTAACAGGATGACGTGGTGGCTCCTCTGTTGGCTGCTCCTGTCTTTGGTGTTCCATAATATCACCTGTCAAAATAATGGTAAAAAAAAATGCTGTAACAACCACACAGCCCAAAGTGAGACC